AGAACTACCAGAAAGAAACTCAACAAAGATACTGAAGAATGACAATGACTAAGGATGACAGAAAAAGAGTTGATGCCTTCGAATTATGGTGCTGGAAAAGTCTTGAAGATACTATAGACTGCCAAGAAAACATCTATCTTGGAGACAAGTTTCTCTTTGGAGGCTAGGATTTTGAAGCTCTATCTCACATATCTGGGGCATGTGGCCAGGAGAGATTGGTCCTGGGAGAAGGACATCATGCTCAGAAGGGTGGAGGGACAGGCAAGAGAGGAAGACCCCAGATGAGATGGATTGATACAGTAACTGGCACGATGGGGGTTGGTGTGTTGGGTCAGTGAGACTGGCTCAGGACAAGGCAGGCTTCAGACCTGCTATACACAGGGTCGCTATGTGTCGCAGGCAAATTGATGGCACACAACGTTCAATCTGTATGCTGGGCAAATAATTTGAGAATCCAGACCAATAAAGAAAAATATGTTGTTTCTGGGTTGGAAGAAGACTCACATGATAAGCACATGACACAACTTTACTTTGAGAAAATAAAGCAGTCATCTCTACCCTTCAATAGAATTTCAACATCAAGAAAACAAACAAATAAAAGATGAAATGGGCAACATCACAACAGAACTAAGTAAAAAAAAAAAGACTAACAATGGAAATTTATGGAAAACTATACTCAAACAAATATGAAAACATAGAGGAAATGGACAAGTACTTAGAATGCACAATCTACCTAAACTGACACCAACCTAAATTGATCACCTGAACAGACCCATTACAAAAGAAGAAATTGAAAAGGTAATACAACTTCCAACCAAAAAAAGCCCTGGACCAGATGGCTTTTCAAGTGAATTTTATCAAACATTCAGAGAAGAACTGTAACCAATTCTACATAAACTATTTCAGAAAACAGAAAGAGATGGAATTCTCCCAGACTCATTCTATGAAGCATATCGTTGATACCAAAGCCACGTAAAGACACCACCAAAATAGAAAACTAGAGGCCAAAATTTCTCATGAACAAAGATGCAAAAATCCTGAATAAAATCCTGGCCAATACAATCCAACAATACATCAAAAAAATAATTCACCATGACCAAGTGGGATTCATAACAGGTACACAAGGATGGTTCAACATAAGAAAAAAAATTAATGTAATTTAACACATTAACAAAGCAAAGAACAAGAAACACATGATCCTATCAATTGATGCAGAAAAGGCCTTTGACAAAATCCAACACCCTTTCCTGATGAAAACACTCAACAAAATAGGATTAGAGGGGAATTTCCTCAACATAGTTTAGTATATATGCAAACCTGAGAGCTAACATTGTTCTCAATGGAGAGAGACTAAAGACATCCCTTTAAGAACAGGAACTAGGCAAGGATGCCCACTATCACCTCTCCTATTCAATATGGTATTGGAAGTCTTAGCAATAGCAATAAGACAAGAGAAGGAAATAAGAGGTATCCAAATTGGCAAAGAGGAGGTAAAATTATCTCTCTATGCAGATGATGTGATAGTATACTTAGAAAACCCTAAAGACTTGGCAAGAAAACTACTGGACATAGTTGACCAATGCAGCACAGTGGCAGGATACAAGAGCGACATACAAAAATAAATTGGATTCTCTATAGTGACAAAGAGAAAACTGAACTGGAACAAAGAAAAACAGTACTTATCACAATAGCTAATCACAAGATTAAATACTTGGGAGTAAACCTAACCAGAAACACAAAAGATCTATTCAAAGTGAATTACAAAAGATTACTACAAGAAACAAAGAGAGACCTGGAAGAATATCCCTTGCTCATGGATAGGAAGACTCAATATTGTGAAAATGACACTACTACCAAAGGCAATTTACATGTTCAAAGCAATCCCAATACAAATACCAATTCCCTTCTTCAATGAGATGGAAAAGGCAATCTCCAATTTCATATGGAATGGAAAGAGACCGAATAAGCAAAGCACTCCTTCAAAAAAGAAACAAGATTCTGTGCTTTCTAGCTGTCCAAAGAAATCAATCTGCAAGCCATTTTCAAATAAAGAGATGTACTAGAGAAAGCTAAACAAACAAACATACAAACAAAACAAAAACCCACAAAAAAAACCCAACAATGCTCACAACCAGATCAAAAGGCAACATCATGATGAGGGAAACTGTGAGATTGTTACAGACTTCATCTCACTTGGATCCACAACAAATATTGATGGAAGCAATGGCCAGTAATCAAAGATGTTCTCAAACAGGCAAATGCACTGTGAGGACAGTGTGGAGGTTCCAAGGACCAAGGCTTTACTGTGAATACTAGCTGCTGAGTGAACGCGTGGCATATTTTCAACTGCCCCATGTGTTCGTGAAAATAAAAAATGGATCAAGAAGACCAATACTGGACGTGCCAGATGAACAAACAAATCTGCCTGTAGAGAGGCAGAGCCACACTGCTTCTTAGAGAAAAGGAGGAGACTATCTCAGCTGCTTTGGGCATTTTATCAGGAAAGGTCAGTCCACAGAGTAGGACATCATGCCTGGAAGACTGGCCAGTGGAAAAGACCGTCCATGAGATGGAGCGACGCAGAGGCTGCGAGAATGGGGTGACTGTGAGGCGACAGGAGCCAGCAGGGTTCTCGTGCTGCATGCAGCACCCCCGACAGCACCACCAGCACACAAGCACGCCCAGATTTCCGGCTGAAGCCCTCATGCCTCTGCACCTCATCCCCAGTCCCTCTCTCCACCCCTTTGTCTCCAGTGTCATCTCTTCTTACTCATTTTATCCTAAGATAAGCTTTCTCTTTTTAACAGTATTTGACTGTTTTAGGTCAGGTTTCCAGAACACCCACGAGCGCCCGTTAACAGTTACTGTGCAGGTTACCCCATGACCTTGGCTGGCTGCCTGTTGAGGACTTGGGTGTTTCCCCTTTGGGTGAATGCTGACCTTCTGAGTTCACACAGCTCTCTAAGGGAGCACATCCCTTGTGGGTGCTATTATTTAGCCCTCGTGGCCTCGTGTTACGTGCTGCTCCCTGAAAGGCAGGCAGTGTGAGTCCCCCAAATGCTGCTCCATGTGAGAAAGCCAGGCAGTCTCCCAGTGAAGACTTACCGCTGTGGAGACCCGACAAGGACATTGTGGTCGCAATGACTCAATGAGAACAGGTTTCGTTTTTCTGGTGTCATATACAATGTGGCTGAAAGGTGACCCGCGGCTCCTGCGTGTTCTCGATTTTCAAGCCTGTCAGTACCCCAGCATGTCCCTGGATGGCGAGCATGGTCCCTGCTCCCCCGGCTCCTCTTCAGATCGGGCTCTGGAAGCAGAGCCACAGCCCCCCTACCGCGGAGGCTTCTGTCCATGGAGGGTCTGAATCACAGCAGAATGCTTAACCACAGTACCACCAACCTGTGTCCTTCCCTCTGGCAGAGGCCAGAAGGTGCCTCCCAGATGAGTCCGAGAGCATCCTCTGACACTCTTCCCCACAACCCTCTACAAAAGGGGTCCTCAGTCTTCCTAACCAGGCTGTGCTCCTTGGCACCCCCCTCCCAGAACTGGATGGTTCCCGAAGGTGTCCAGCCCTTATGAGGGTTCCGGCATGGTGGCTGAGGACCTGGACAAGCCAGACCCATGAAGGTGGGGGTCTCATTCTTCTGGTGGGACATCAGCGCCTTCAAGAGGAGGTGGTCCCACCGACGGGCAGGCCCTGTGCACATGGGAGGGGACACTCCATGGGCTGGGAACTGGGTCAATTCCAGGGGTAGGGATGAGATGCCCCAGAGAGGAACATACAAACTGATATTCTCACTGCCAACACTCCCCCTACAAATACCCAGGAGTGACTGCAATCTACAAATCTCTTTATTGCTGTCTGTGTTACAATGTTGCAAATGTACAGCTGTCCAGTCAGTGCACCCACAGCACCGATCTCCTAGAACAGGTGGGCAGCAGGCATCTCTCTCACAGACAGAGACAAAGGCAAGCACCTGAGTCTGGCAGCCACCTGCCTTCTGAAGTCTCGGGAACTGAATGACCAGTGCAGGCCCTCGCCTGGTGGCAGCCCTCAGCTGGCTGTAGCCCTCGCCTGGCCTCAGCACTAGGATGGCTGCAGCCCTTTGCCTGGTGGGGCTAGAGGCACTTACCCTCACTTGCATGCAAGATGTAGGGCTAATAGCTCCTGGGAACACAGGTGGGTGTGCCGGCAGACCCCAATTCTCACTGGCCCCAGGAATATGGGGCTGGTTACGGCACACTGGCTCCCCATGGAGGAACATGGAAGAACAGGGCCCTGGCAGGAACCAATGTGCAGCTGCAAAACTTGATGCAAGGCCGCTTGCACCCCACACTCCTTGGGCTCTTGGTTCTGTGCACAGTGCAGCCTCGGTGACTGGAGGCCATCTCTGGGTTCTCTCACCCGCTCAGCCCTGTCTAGGGAATAAGTCCTCAGGGTGTTTTCACCCATTCTACCCCAACAGAGGCGGCTGAGTCCGTGTCTGACAGAGACGGCCTGTGTATGGACATTCACTCACAGATAACTGTGGTCCATAGAGGCAAGCTCCTGGTGGGGGAAGTCACTGTCCACACGGAGGCTAGCTGCTGGTCAAGGTGGTCGTAGTCCACACGGAGGCTAGCTGCTGGATGAGGCGGCCGGCTCCGGGGACTGCAGGAACTCGTAGGGGTCATGGGTCACATCTGGCTGCTCCCCGACGCTGAGGTGGGACGGGCTCCCTGCAGTTGTGGGAGAGATGGTGTCAGCACGTGAAGGACCTGCAGGACCACCCTGATTATCCACCAGACCCTGGGGGTGAGGCCGCTGAGAGCCTGGAGCTCACAGTTCATCACTGCCTGGAGAAAGGGTCAAAGCTGGCTGTGCAGAGAGAAGGACTAGACGCTTCTGTCTGGGACCATCGTGCTCGGAGGGTCAGTGAAAAGGAGGCCCCTCAACAAGCAGGGCTGACACTGAGCAGTGGACTGAAGCGCAGTGGGGCCTGGGGGCAGGGCCAGGGCAGGGAGGTTTGCTGTACGGGGGTAGCTGTGAGCTGACGCGGACTCGACAGCACCTAACAACATCTGAGAAGGAAAACCGGGGACGAAATCAACACAGCAAATCTATGGGGCTTAAATGGGTAACCACCCTCACTGCTGCCAAGAGCAGTCAATGGACACGGCACAGATGCAGCCCAGGGTCAATGGTCTGGGCTGGAACACGCTGGGGTCTGTAGCTCCTGCCCCAGCCCTTCATCCTGCCGGGGCCTCAACTGGAGGTGATGACAGAGGCACTTTCTAAAACCCCAGAGGATCATCACCTTTGGCCACAGCCTGTGAGTAGTAAGAGTGATGACATTCCACATGAAAACCCCCGTCAAGGCAGCCTATCCCAGGAGAGGGGACAGCAGGAAGTCAGTGTGGTTTAAGCAGAGGACAGAGAAGTCTGGGCGACACATGTGTCAGCCGCTTTCCACATATCACCTCATCAACACCACTCCCTGTGTTCATGCCAGGCACACATCACTCCCCAGTCACACTGTCCCACAATGTGACACTATGCACAGCATTCCTAACATTCACACCACGCACACAACACTCCCACCATGTACATTCCCCACATGCACACACATCATTCCCACATTCACACCATGCACATGGCATTTCCACATGACATTTCCAATTCACCCCACGCACGCCACATTCCCCACATTCACCCCATGCACACGGCACTCCCCACATTCCTAGCATGCACACAACATTCCCACATTCATACCATGCACATGACATTTCCAGTTCACCCCACACATGCCACATTCCCCACATTTACAGCATGCACACCTTTCCACATTCACTCCATCCACACGGCATTCCCACGCTCACCCCATGCACTCCACATTCCCATGTTCACATGTACACATACACAACATTCCCAATGTTCACATCACATACACACCATCCCCACATTCACACCACACACATTTCCATGTTTACCCACACACACACTCCCATGTTCATACCACATGCATTCTCATGTTCACACTTATCCACCGTGCCCCACATTCACATCATGTACCACGCTGACACTGTGTACACAATACTCCCTGTGTTCACATCATCCACCACACACCTGTCCCAGTCACACCATGCACGTTCACACTGACACTGCCCCACATTCACACTATGCACACAACACCCTCCACGTCACACTACTCACCACAGTGACATCACAACCTAAGTTCAAACCATGCCCCATGGTCACACTATGCACACAACACCCATGTTCACAACCCCCAGCAGTGACATCACGCCCTAGGTTCACACCGTGCACCAGGTTCTCACCCATGCACACAACACCCATGTTCACACCACCCACCAGTGACATCTTGACCTAAGTTCACACCATGCACACAACACCCATGTTCACACCACCCACTAGTGACATCATACCCTAAGTTCACATCATGTACCATGCTCACACCATGCACACGACACCCATGTCACACCCCAGCAGTGACATCACACTCTAAGTTCATACAATACACCATGTTCACACCATGCACACAACACCCATGTTCAAACTCCAGCAGTGACATCACGCCTTACATTCACACCATGCACCACATTCACACCATGCACACAACACCCATGTTCACACCACCCACCAGTGACATCATACCCTAAGTTCGCATCATGTACCATGTTCACACCTCAGCAATGACATCACACTCTAAGTTCATACCATGCACCATGTTCACACAATGCACACAACACATATGTTTAAACCACTCACCAGTGACATCATGCCCTAAGTTCACACCATATAGCATGTTCACGTCATGCACAAAAAACACATGTTCACACCACCCCCCAGTGACATCAAGCTGTAAGTTCACATCATGCACCATGTTCATACCCCAGCAGTAACATCACACTCTAAGTTCATACCATGCACCATGTTCACACCACTCACCAGTGACATCACACCCTAAGTTCACACCATGCACCATTTCACACCATGCACACAACACCCATCACACTGACACCATGCCCCGTGTTCACACTACCCAGACAGCCCCCAAGTTCACACCCTGTTCATACCACACACACCACACCACTCTACTATCTGTCAAGTTCACAGCACCACCTGCATTCACATTACCTCCTCAACTTCATGCCACGTATCACCACGCACACAAGGTACACTCACGAGCTCACAAACTACAACTCTGGGATTTCAACCCTTGAACATCAACATCCTATCCCCACACGTCAACCAGCACTCCTTCCGCATGGTGGAAGTCTGAGGCGATGGCCTGTGCAGGCTGGGGCTCACCCAGGTGGTGTGGGTCCCTCTCAGAGGCGTTGGACAGGGAGCTGAGGTTGGATGAGGGCCGGGAGCCTCCACGTTCGGTCTGGGCCTCATGCAGGTCTTGCAGCAGCTTTGTGGTCTCGTCCAGGCCCAAGTGGCCATCGTCATGGTCCAGCTCCTTCTTCACCTTCCCTGTGCAGATGCACGGCATAATGGGGGTTGGAAAGGAGGCTTCTCCAGTGTGAGGAGGGAATGAGTAAAGGCGAGACGGCAGGCAGGAACAAGGGGGAGAATACTATCAACGATTCCCTGCTGAGTCACAGATTCATCATGTCCCCCACAGTATTGCTATGAAACGTGAACATCGTGATGGTCCACAGTTGAGATAGGATCGAAAGTGGGATGTAACACCCTCAATTCCACTCCAACCCTGATCCGATGTAAGGAGAGTTCACCTGGGGTATGATCTGCATGACTTCTGCCGTAAAGACAGTAAAAGAGGAAGCAAGGGGCAGGGAGGGAAAGGGCTCAGGATCCCATGACGGCAGTGGAGCACACCTTGTGGACCCAGTCTAAGAAACTCCTGGGTGCAATGAGGAGTCAGACATGGAGGCTTCCCAGGGACGCTGAAGGGGACAGGCTTTCATCCACAATCAAAAGAGAGAGCAGCAGCCCCACATCTCCACCCTGCATGTGGACTTCCTACCCGGGGAGAATGGATTGGTTTCTGTTAAAATGATCTACTTGTGGTATTTCTGTACGAGCAACACTAAATACCTAAGACACTGAGCTGGGCAAGACCATAGCACCAAAGCTATCTCAGAGTCACGCTGGACAGAGGGCAATGCACCAACACCATCCCTCCAAGTCACTTCCGGACAAAGGCAGCCACACCAAAACCACCTCATGGGCCGCGAGGGACAGAGCCAATGCACCAAGGCTATGCTAGTGAGTGGGGAAGACCCTGCTGTCACACTGAGTCTCAGCCTCTGTTGTAATGCTACTGAAATACAGGCCATCCCGGGGGAGGGCCACGGCTGGTTCAGTCCTACTGTCTGAATGATGAAGCTACTGATGCTGGACAAAAGCCTGAGTGTGGTGCTGCTGGGGACTGCTTCCAGACCACAGCATAGGGTGTCCTGTACAAACCAAGTGGTGGCAGCCTGAGAGCTCAGAACTCACACTTGCTCCTTGTCTGCATGTGTGGGAGAAGGGCCTGAAGGCCAGGGTGGATTGCCATAGTGCAAGGTGCACGTGCAGGCAGGACAGCAGCTGTAGGGCCCTGTGCTGACTCAGGCGGTGCAAGAGCTCCTTGGAGTGGGTGCCTGCATACTGTACTGAAACATCACGAGCCATGCAGAGAAGGCTAGCAAACTGGGAAGACAAGGATGTCAGCAACAGGCAGGCACCTTGCTCTTCAAGGGTGGGAGGGAGTGGTGCCTGCAGAGAGTGTTTAGGGATCAGAGACCACTGTTCTAAGTGAGCTAGCCTGCAGACAGTTAAAGGTCAGGGCTCAGGACTGAGAAAGAAACCACCTGAGCAGAGCAGAGAAGGTCCAGCACACATGGAAGTAGAGGCCAGGAAAAGGCCAGTGATAGCCAGGAAATTACAGATCTCAAAAAGCTATTAATGTAAGGAAATACAAAAACCCCACAGCAAGGTACATCATATCAAGGCTTTCCATTGCTGAAGACCAGCGATGGGAAACTTTACAACCAGTGGGAAAGAATCAGACACACACAGAGACGAGCTCACAACTTCCTATGGTTCTCCAAGAGGGGCAAGCTCAGATAATTCAGCAAGGAGGATTCTGGGGAGGGGTACCCCCACTCCCCGAGGACAGTGGCTCCTTGCACTTAGACCGTGTAAACGGTGTGCTTCGAGCTGACTATCGGAGCTCTGGAAGCCTGAGGGAGGTGCTGACTTGCCCAGTACAAGAGGGACCCTGGGTTCCAGGTCTGCAGTGAACTTCTCTGGCAGATGACATTCCATGACTGTTGTACTTACTGGTGGAGGAATGAAGCATGTTCTGTAAATCTTAATGGGGAGAAACTACTGCATCTTTCTCCCGTGGAGAGGGTGACAGTGACACCCTGCACCAGCAGAGCTGTGGGCAGAGGATGCTGATTGCTCAACACGCCCTTCTGGGTTGACTCTGCCCCGTGCCCTCATGCTGAGTTCTAGGGTCCTCCTGGGAAGCAACAGCCTTCGGGACAGTCTTCAAAACCCCAAAACAACCAAGTACAAGAAGACAAACAGCAAGGTTTAGACCTGGACTCCGCGTGTCAGGAGCCGTGTCCTCCATTTCAACAGAATCAGGAGGGAGGAAGGAGACAGGGACATCAGCCACCAGAGGGCCGCCAGTTGGGGCCGAGTCGGCGTCCAGAGCAAAGCCAGCAGCAGAGGGTACACTCAGGCCACCAGTGACCACTGAAAACAGTCACCCCTTCCTACTGAGACTGACCACGCAGACACACAATGACATGACTTACCCAGAGAGCTAAGCATGGAGATATCGAGAGAGACGTCCGAGTAGGGCCTCATGGACATGAAGTCCAGGACTGAGCTGCCGTCTCCAAGCTGGTCTCCAACCTGCAGAAAAAGTGAGACAGGGATCCCTCCTTAGCACTTGGCTAAGAAGGCAGAAGGTGCCGGGTGGTGGCACAATGTGTGAGCCCTTCCTGAGCCTCCCAGTCAGTGGCCAAGACACAAACGCTGCCTTGGTCCATGACCACTGGTCCAAGCTCAGGGACAGGCATGTAAATCCACTTGGGAGTGACTGAAGCATACAAGGCGCACTCTCAGGTGGATGTGAGTGGGTCTGACCCCCATAGCTGCTCCTCAGGGATGTGCGATGTCACCTAACTCCATGGAGCAGTGCCTAGTAAACCTCCCCAGCAGAGCACCCCCAGAACACTGGGCTTCCGGACGGCCCCTCCAGACCCTGCTGAGTGTTCCTCAGTCAGCCCTGGACTCCCACAAATATCCAGGGAGCCTTCTACCCTCCTGTCCACGATGTCTAGTCAGCCTTATCCCCTCCTACCCATGATGTCCAGTCAGCCTTCTGCCCTCCTACCCAAAATGTCCAGTAAGCCTTCTACCCTCCTGCCCACGATATCCAGTGAGCCTTTTAGCTTCCTGCCCACGATGTCCAGTGAGCCTTCTACCTTCCTGCCCACAATGTCCAGTCAGCTTTCTACCCACCTACCCACAATGTCCAGTGATTGTTATCCCCTCCTACCCACGATGTCTAGTGAGCCTTCTACCCTCCTGCCCACAATGTCCAGTCAGCCTTCTACCCTCCTGCCCACAATGTCCAGTGAGTGCCCCCCTGCTAGGCCAGCCTGTGCAGTCCACCTGAGCCTTGGCTTCTGAGCTGAAAGGACACACGGTGACCCCAGTCCTCAGCACAGGGACAGAGCAGACAAGACCAACTAGGTGTCCTGCACCAGAAATTAACCCATCTCTGTACACGATAAAAGACTGTTCCTAGTGAGGTCGTTTGAAAGCACAGTGCCCTTCATGGGGATGCTATGAAGTCACTCACCGTCACTTCATCTGGGGGCTTCACGGGGACACTTCTCCTCTGTGAAGGAAGAGACAAGAGATGGTTTATGCACACACACCATGCACACCCAGGACAGGTGCCTGTAGTTGCACTCACACGTGGCTGAGGCTATGGGGTACCGACACGGCATACACGGGGGGGCCACCCTGAGAGAAGAGGGCAGAGAGAGGATGCAGCCCAGCCACTACCAGGTCACAGAATATTGTTGTTATGTGCCATCAAGTCGCTTGTGACTCATAGCGACCCTATGTACAAGAGCCCTAAACGCCGTTCTATCCTGTGCCAACCTCGCCGTCTCAAACACAGTCATTCCCACCGCTCCACTCACAGAATCGATCCATCTCATCGAGGGTCTTCCTCTCCTGCACTGTCCCTCCACTCTGCCAAATGTGATGTTCACCTCCAAGGACCAGTCCCACCTTGCAATATGCCCAAAGTATGTCAGACGAAGCCCCAGAATCTTTGACTCCAAGGAGCATTCCAGCTTAACCTCTCCAGGTCAAACCTGTTTGTTCTCCTAGCAGTCCATGGTATATTAAACACTCTTCTCCAGCACCACAGCTCAAAGGCGTTAATTCTCCTATCATCCCTAGTCACTGCCCAACTCTGATGCATAGCACGTAATTGCAAAGACTATACCCTGGATCAGGTGCACCTTAGTCTCCAGTCTGATGTTGTTGATTTCAGTACTCTTGAGAGGTCCCTCACTGCTGACTTTCCCAATGCAATTTGTCTCCTGATTTCCTGGCTGCTGATACAAAAGTGTTGATTATGGAGCCAAGTAAACGAAAACTGTCAACAATCTCACTCTCTTCAAACGTCCACACTGATGCTGCCAATTGGCCCAGTGGTGAGAGTCTTTGTTTTCTTTTTCTTTTATGAAATGCATTATTTATTTTCTGTCAAACTTATTTCCACTTTTTTTTAAAAGACAGTTTAAGACCATTCTGTGGTAGTGCCCACCCACTCAGTGGCCTGAGTCGGGGGTGCTGCAGACCAGTCTTCAGTTGCAGGCTAAGCACTCCAGTCTTCAGTAGGGAACTGCTGAATTGGCACACAGGGCACCTGGACACCTTCGGATCAGTCTGTAACTGCAGGCTCAGTAGCAGTGAATTCAGGAGCAGGGGCCATCCATTCTCCCTGAAACTCCTCCTTGGTCACAGCCTTCTCAGCAGCAGCCTGTTCTTCCTTTTCAATCTCTTCTGGATCTCTGTAGAAATACAGATCAAGGGAGCTCTGGTGGCCTAGTGGCAAGAAGCTGCATCGCAATCCCAGAAGTTGTTATGTGCCGTCGAGTTGCTTGCGACTCACAGCGACCCTATGTACAACATCTCTAAACTCTGCTCTGTCCTGTGCCAATCACACCGTCTCTGATACACCCATCCTGATTACCCCAATCACTGAATCAATCCACCTCATATGGGGCCTTCCCCTTCTGCACTG